TACTGAGGGACACAGAATTGTTACTCAGGGACAGAATGTTACACAGGAGACACAGAATTGTTACTCAGGGACAGACACAGAATTGTTACTGAGGGACACAGAATTGTTACTGAGGGACACAGAATGTTACTCAGGGGACAGACACAGAATTGTTACTCTCAGGGACAGACACAGAATTGTTACTGAGGGACACAGAATTGTTACTGAGGGACACATAATTGTTACTCAGGGCGACAGACCACAAGAATTGTTACTCAGGGACACAGAATTGTTACTGAGGGACACAGAATTGTTACTGAGGGAACACAGAATTGTTACTCAGGGACACAGAATTGTTACTCAACGGACAGACACAGAATTGTTACTCAGGGACAGACACAGAATTGTGTTACTGAGGGACACAGAATTGTTACTGCGGGACATTGTTACTCAGGGACACAGAATTGTTACTCAGGGACAGGGACACAGAATTGTTACAGGGACAGGACACAGAATTGTTACTGAGGGACACAGAATTGTTACTGAGGGACACAGAATTGTTACTCAGGGACACAGAATTGTTACTCAGGGGGACACAGAATTGTTACTGAGGGACACAGAATTGTTACTGAGGGGACACAGACACAATTGTTACTCAGGGGGACAGACACAGACTGTTACTGAGGGACACAGAATTGTTATCAAGGGACACAGAATTGTTACTGAGGGACACAGAATTGTTACTGAGGGACACAGAATTGTTACTGAGGGCCACAGACACAGAATTAGGGACACAGAATTGTTACTCAGGGACAGACACAGAATTGTTACTCAGGGACAGACACAGAATTGTTACTGAGGGACACAGAATTGTTACTGAGGGACACAGAATTGTTACTGAGGGACACAGAATTGTTACTCAGGGACACACAGAATTGTTTACTCAGGGACACACAGGAATCAGGGTGTTGAATTAAAGAGTATGTCAGACAACATGCAGAGGAGTGGCAGAGGAGGCAATGTTTTAGGAGCGAGCAGACGTGGCAGCAGAGGAAGGGGTCGAGGCAGCACTAGTCGCAGCCAGAGGCCAGTGCTCCCGGTGTCATCCAGCGGTCGTGTCTCCACCGACAACCCTGCCGTCATCGATTGGTTGGCTCGGTCGTCTTCTCTTCCCAGGTCACCTCTGACACCTACAGCCCAACGGTCGGTGGGTACGTCAGACACAACCGTTAGTTGGCATGGCCCCGGGAGCAAGCCCACTGAAATCACGTGTCCTCTACCTGCCCCTGTCCTTTGGTGTTCCCTCACCAAGCGAAGTATCGCATGCTGTGGGCTCAGCCCCACTGTACAGTGAGGAAGAGCTAACAGAGGGCGGTCAGGAACGGGGGGAGACATCCGCCTCTTCAGCAGCCAGGCGAAGAAGTAGTGGCGAGGAGGAGAGTGGCTCGGTAGCCGGTCTAGAGACAGGTCTGTCTCCTGACCCACACGCAGCCGAGGGGGCTAGTAGTGAGGCGGAGACCCTAATTGATGATGATGAGGCTGATCGCACTTGGCAGCCTCGTCGTCATCAGGCTATTGCTTCCGCATCATCAGGAGAAGAGGGTGGCAGCTTGGCAGCGAGCAAAACAGTCGGTGGGTTGCCCAGGAGGCAGCAGGGTCGCAGCAGTGTCAGTGGAGGCAAACGGCCACGGAGTACAGCACCAGCTCCACTGCAGCCTACCACCACGGCCAGTAGTGGTGCCGGTGTGCACAGAGGAAGCAGCAGTCAGCCAGTGGAGGAGTATCGGGGGCAAAGTTTCCTACTCGGCGGTGTGGCAATTTTTTGTCAAGCCGCCCGAGGAAGTAAACGTAGCCGTATGTCGACTATGTGGCCAGAAAGTCAAGCGTGGCCAGGGGGCCATGTTGGGACTACAGCGTTGCGGCAGCATATGCAGCGTCGCCATTTGGTGGCCTGGGAAAACCGTGATAAAGATACGGCGGTTCTGCCTGCCCCAGCCCCCGCTCCATCACCCGCTCCGTTACTTGCTCCGTCACCCGACGTCAATCGCCCTCTATCAGCCAGTCAAGGCTCCAACACCTCTGCTGAGGGGAGTTGTCGCTCGTTGGCATCTTCCGCTCGTTCTGATGCTCCTTCTCCTGCTACTCCTCTTCACGGATTCCGTCAGCAGTCTTTCTTGGAATCCGTTTCCAAGAGACAACAGTTTGCGAGCACGCACCCGACGGTGCAAAAGCTGAACGTCCTCCTGTCCAAGTTGCTGGTGCTGCAGTCCCTCCCTTTCCAAGTGGTGGACTCAGCACCCTTTCGAGAAATGATGGCTTGTGCCGCGCCGCGGTGGAGAGTGCCAAGCCGTCATTTCTTCGCCAAAAAGGCAGTGCCAGCCCTGCATTCACATGTAGAAGAGATGGTGGGCCAGTCTTTGAGCATGTCGGTCTCTGCCAAAGTGCACGGCAGCGCCGACGTGTGGAGCTGTAACTACGGTCAGGGACAGTACATGTCATTTACGGCCCACTGGGTGAACGTGGGTGCCCGTCACAGCCGCACCAGCAACTTGGACAGGTCACGCCGCTTTTGCCTCCACGTTTGCACGTCCTTGGTCCGGCAAAGATGTCCGCCTCTACCACCTCTTCTTCCGCCGTGTCCTCAGCCTGCCATCCCCCCGTGCCAAGTCCCATTACCCGACCGGCATATCACATGTGCAGGGCGCAACGGTGTCACGCTGTGCTGCACCTGGTATGCCTTGGCGAACGTAGTCACACAGGGGAGGAACTTCTCAGTGTATGAACAGAGAAATCGACAGATGGCTGTCTCCGCGCAAACTGAAAATCGGAACCATGTTGACCGACAACGGAAAGAACATGGTGTCTGCTCTGCGTCAAGGAAGGTTGTGCCATGCCACCATGCATGGCTCACGTGTTCAATCTGGTTGTCAAGCGGTTCCTAAAATCCACCATCCCACTGCAAGACATCCTTAAAATGTCACGTAAACTTTGCATGCATTTCAGCCATTCCTACAACCGCAAAGCACACCCTCCTTGAGCTGCAGCGGCAGAACGGAATTCCACAGCATCGCCTGATCTGCGACGTTGCAACAAGGTGGAATTCAACCCTACACATGTTAGACCGCCTTTACGAACAGCGAAAGGCCATCACCGATTTCCTGATGTTACAAGCGGATAAAGGTACTCCCCTGTGTAACTTCGATGTCAGCCATTGGCAGCTCATGCGTGACACCTGCCGCTTGCTCAGGCCCTTTGAGGAGGCCACGCTATTCGTGAGTCGGCAGGACTATGGGATGAACGACGTCATTCCTCTGTTGCACGTCCTGGAACAAATGCTGTTAACAATGGCTGGTCAGGGTGCGGTAGACGTGGCGCACAGATCTCAACGCCACATGACCCCTGTGGGGGCAGGACAGGAAGAAGAGGAGGAGGTAGAGGAGGACATTGGTGCTCAGGAATTATTGAGTGAAATGGGTGGTTTTTCCACTCAGCGGACAGGAGTGGAGGAGCAGGAGCATCTGGTAGAGGAGGAGGAGGAGGAGACAGAGGACCCAGACGCACCGTGGCAGTATGCTGTGGAGATGGAGGCAGGGAGTCCCTCGCATTCCTTGGCACAAATGGCCCATAGCATGCTCGGTTGCTTGCGTAGCGACAGCCGAATAATAACCATCAGACAGAGGGATGACTTTTGGCTGTCCACCTTGTTGGACCCTCGCTACCGTTCAAAAATGGTGGCCTTTTTCACACCTGCTGAGAGGGAGGCCAAAATAACGTACTATAAAAAAACCACCTATGTAGTCAGTTGGTCTCTGCCTTTCTGTGCGCCAACGTCCATCCTCAGACACTGTGGGCCCTGTGCGCTCGCGTTCCGCTGCCATGGCAGCAGGGGAGGGGTGTGGGTGGTAGGAGCAGTGGCAGCTCCACCAGCAGGGCGGCTGCCTCAGTCTGCAGTCGATGATGAGTAGCTTTCTTCACCAGCGCAGTGAGGAAACTACTAACCAGCCGCGCAGCAGCAGCAGCATCAGGTGGACCTGGAGCAGGACCTCAAACAACAGGCTTGGGCCTACTTGGACAGCACCCTGCCAACCGAGGTAGACAATCCCCTTGACTACTGGGCAACGAAACTTGACCTTTGGCCCCAACTAGCTGAATTTGCCCTTGAAAGGCTGTCATGCCCGGCCAGTAGCGTGGCATCGGAGCGCGTGTTTAGTGCGGCAGGAGGTATTGTAACTCCGCGGAGGACACGACTGTTCCACCCAAAGTGTGGAGAGACTCACGTTTGTGAAAATGAATCAGGCGTGGATTAGTCTGGATTTCAAACCACCAGTTCCTGACACAACTGACTAAATCCGCCATGAATCATGCCCCAAACATGTGCCACTTTCAGGTCTCCTCACACTGCTGGTGTGTTCCATTTTTTGTCATAGGGGTGCTGGCAGATTACGGGCCTCCCATAGCTGCTGCCAGGCCCCTAATCTGCCAGTAAACCCCCGTACCGCCTCCTCGCTGCTATGTGCCAGGTCCAGAGTCGTGGCCATGGGTCCCTGTTGGGACCCAGCTGTTGCGTCCATATCGCCCATTCGGTGGCTTGCCATGATAAACTTTAGGTCTGTCTCACCCAGCCAGGGTTCCATTTTTTCATAGGGTGCTGGCAGATTACGGGCCTCCCATTGCTGCTGCCAGGCCTTAATCTGCCATGGGCCCCTGTACCGCCTCCTCATCTAAATGCTGCTGCCAGGTCCAGAGTGTCTCATGGGTCCCTGTACGGCCTCCCATTGCTGCTGTCTCCCATCGCCACACTCTGCCATGTGCCACTTTCAGGTCTCCTCACACTGCTGGTGTGTTCCATTTTTTGTCATAGGGTGCTGGCAGATTACGGGCCTCCCATTGCTGCTGCCAGGCCCGTAATCTGCCATGGGGCCCCTGTACCCCCGCCTCCTCATGCTGCTGCCAGGTCCACAGTCTCTCATGGGTCCCTGTACGGCCTCCCATTGCTGCTGTCTCCATCGCCACACTCTGCCATGTGCCACTTTTCAGGTCTCCTCACACTGCTGGTGTGTTCCATTTTTTGTCATAGGGTGCTGGCAGATTACGGGCCTCCCATAGCTGCTGCCAGGCCCCTAATCTGCCATGGGCCCCTGTACCGCCTCCTCATGCTGCTGCCAGGTCCAGAGTCTCTCATGGGTCCCTGTACGGCCTCCCATTGCTGCTGTCTCCATCGCCACACTCTGCCATGTGCCACTTTCAGGTCTCCTCACCACACTGCTGGGTGTGTTCCATTTTTTTGTCATAGGGTGCTGGCAGATTACGGGCCTCCCATTGCTGCTTCCAGGCCCGTAATCTGCCATGGGCCCCCGTACCGACTCCTCATGCTGCTGCCAGGCCCGTAATCTGTCATGGGCCCCTGTTGTCGCTTGTTGGCATATTCCGCTCGTTCAGATGCTCCTTCTCCTGCTACTTCCTCTTCACGGATTCCGTCAGCAGTCTTTCTTGGAATCCGTTTCCAAGAGACAACAGTTTGCGAGCACGCACCCGATGGTGCAGAAGCTGAACGTCCTCCTGTCCAAGTTGCTGCTGCCCAGGCTCGTAATCTGTCATGCGCCCCTGTACCGCCTCCTCATGCTGCTGCCAGGAGGTCAGAGTGTGTCATGGGCCCCCGTAACCGACTCCCCATGCTGCTGCCAGGCCCGTAATCTGTCATGGGCCCCTGTTCCGCCTCCTCATGCTGCTGCCAGGTCCAGAGTGTGTCATGGGTCCCTGTACGGCCTCCTATTGCTGCTGCCAGGCCCGTAATCTGCCATGGGCCCCCATACCAACTCCTCATGCTGCTGCCAGGCCCGTAAATCTGTCATGGGCCCCTGTACCGCCTCCTCATGCTGCTGCCAGGTCCAGAGTGTGTCATGGGTCCCTGTACGGCCTCCCATTGCTGCTGTCTCCATCGCCACACTCTCTTCCTGTGCCACTTTCAGGTCTCCTCACACTGCTGGTGGTTTCCATTTTTGTCATAGGGTGCTGTATGGCCTCCCATTGCTGCTTCTGCCTCCACCGCCACACTGTGGCTCCACACTCTGGTCTTGGCCCCCCGTGACTGCCCAAATGAGTGAAGTGTGCTGTGATTCTAAGATCGACGGCACTCATCTGCATGTCATACTGACTGTCAGTATTATTTCTCTTCCCCAGCAGACTCCAAGGGCATTTAAATTAAAGGTACAGTGTTCTGCACTAATATAAAGGCTCTCTGAAGCCTAGAAACACCCTTTTATAAGTTAAATTTGCAGCGAATATATTCGACTCGAATCGAAAATTTTTTCACGAATTCGCCAAATCAGTCGAATCGAATTTTTGAATAATTCGCTCATCTCTAATAATAAACAAAGAGTCGTTCAAACACAATGCTTGCATCACTCTCCTAAACAAAAAGGGTGCAATCCCCTTTGTTAATTGGGAGTGATCAGTTCTCTGTTCTGCTGTGTCTGTGACAGCCAAAGCCAAAACAAAACAGGAGAACTGGATCTGAATGCTTCAAACTCCCGCTCGTCTCAGAGTGGGAGGAAAGGGCCCGTCAGGCTCTGCTCGTGTAGTGTGATCACTGCATGTGCAGAAAGAGCAATGTGAGCTGTCTGCTGATAGCTCACATCCTGTATGCCAGCATGGGAAAACTGCCTCATTCCGTCTAGTTTCTATTTTACTCTGAAATATAAATTGGCACGGGTGGTGCAGACAGACCTCAATAGGTCTATATGCATAATTAATGTGGCACACATCATTCCCTACAAGTTTCCTGCACCATTATAATGGCTCAGGAAGCTTAGTTATTCTTTACTGTGTGTTTACTGTGAGCCCACCCCTGTCCCTTGAAGGAAGGGGAGGAAACAGAACTAGTGACTGAAATACTTATTCATTAGTTCCTAAACATAGTACAATCAGCAGCAGCTGCGCGTACTCTTTAACTCTTTAATTCCCCTTCTCTCCTACACATCTGATCTCAATAGTGTCCCTCTATGAAAAATGCACATGAACCCTTCACATCCCTTATCCTGAACATTTGCACAACATGCCCTTCATTTCCATCCTCTCGCTGTCTGTGACCTGTACCTGAACAGTTTTGTCCCTTCTTCCCTATGTGTATGGCATGTATGCGCTGTATCTAGTGCACTATTGCCATGCTTTATGTTTTAACACCCTCAATAAAATAGTTATTTCTTGTCACCTCTGAGTGTCTACTTTAAAAAATGGGTAATTTGGGGGTTTATATTGTTCTGGCATTTTCATTTGAACAGAAAATAAGCAATATTTTTTTAATTTTTGGCCTTTTTTTTTATATATAGTAAAAGTGTTTTTTAAATACCAAAATACATCTCTATGAAATGCGAAATAAATTATATAAACTTCATGTGATTACAGTGTTGCAGCAGAGTTATTGTCCGGTAAACAATTACAGCACTGGAAACTGAAATTCTCCTGATAATAAAAGGATATTATAGGGTGGTACTCAAGTAGTTAGGGAAACCTCTTACATAATGAGATGTCTCCATTTTCTGGTAAAAGAGCTTATCTGACCTTATTTTTAGCTGGGGTCAGTTAAACCAGCATATCTCATTGCAGAACAAACTTTTTTTTTATTGCACATACTGTATCCCCCCTTAATTTGAATCTTACCACAGTTGTAAACATTTTAGAGCATCTATTAGTGACCCTTTAAATGTTCTGTAAAGGTTAGTACAAACATTTTATTGTATGGCAATAAATAATGTTCAGTTATGCTTTATAGCAATTATTGTTATTTAACTTTTTATTTCTCTGCACTTCCTATCAGATTCTTTTAACTCTTTTTTTTTTGTGTTTTTTGTTTTTCTTTATAAATGTTTGAAAACTTTAAAATATGTTTTTAACAAACATAGCAAACGATTTGACGAAACCTAATCTTGATAAGTCATAGTGCAATGACTTATTGTACAATATGTAGCCTAAAGTGGAAGCTTGTTATCATGGAAACTGCAAGATCTGTTTACCAAGCTGTCTTTCACTCTTGTGTCCTTGCTCTAGCTTGCTCTTGAGAAATGTGTCTTTTGTTTGCGGTTTAAATACCGCCCTGATTGGATAGCACCTGTTGTTGTGCTCTGTTTCCCATTTCATTTATTGCAATCATTTTCTTTGGTTATATTTTGGGCTTCTCCACCGTTTTATTACATTTACATCAGTACTCCCTTCAGACATTCTACTCATGTTCAAGAAATTCTGTTCCATTTTATCATGTAGTTAAATTCATTTTGACAGTCTATGTTTTAATTCAAGCTATTAGTAACAATGCCATTTCTCAATGGGGTCATGAAGCCTACATATTACAGTGCTAAACAAGCTAGGCCATTCTTCACCATACAAAATGTCAAAAGCACTTATGAGTGATTTCAGGCAAGGCCATATGACTAATGAGCAGACCTTTAATGGCAAAGTATTGTAAATTACATTTATATGGAGACTGGTATATGTACGTAAGACATTTCAAGTTACGAGTCTCAAACCAGTTCATCATGCACTTAAAAGCCATAAAGGATCAACATCACATTGGCTGAAATTTAAGAAATATAATCTTTTATATTAGGCTAGGAGAAAGGCAATAAATACTTTTCCAGGAAGTTAAAAGTGATACACATTTTTATTGTCTCTCTTATAAAGTAATATATTGATCCTTCAAATCACTCTCCGGCATGTTTCTACAAGTAGGCTAAGACATGTTCTTTTCTCTGACTGGAGGCTTAGTTAAAAATCTCACTTTATATACAGTATGCAAGAAACTTCTCTGAACTGAATAAATCATTATTTAATGTCTTGCAAAACATGCATCTCAACTAGGATTTTAAATATCTAGACAGAATCATGATGCGATGTCATGATTTTCTGAAAGATAAGTGATTGATCTATGCTATGATGAAGCTAAAATGTTACCTGGAGTTTTTTGCAAGCTTGATTTTTTGTTTTTAACTACCTACTGCTTGCTATATAAGGAAATGACGGGCACAAGGTGGTTCTCTCATTCTGGGAGGATGTCATATGACGTCCTCCAATTCTAACCGCACGTGCGTGCCCCCGGGGGCATGCAGCGCGCCGATTGGTGGTGCGCTGTGTCCCTAGAACACAACGGATAACCAATCAGCGGAAAGAGCCTATGACTTCAGCTCTGTCATGTGATCAGATGTGTCCAATCACGTAAATAAGTAAATGCCCGCTATTGGCATTTCTCTCCTCACAAGCTGTCACTCTGATGATCAGTGCCCTGATGATCAGTGTAGCCCCATCAGTGCCACCTGTCACTGTCCATCAATGCCACCTGTCATTGCCCATCAATGCCATATACCAGTGCCCATCAGTGCACATCAATGCCACATATCAGTGCCTACCAGTGCACATAAATGCCATATATCAGTGCCCATCCGTGCTGCCTTTCAGTGCCAACTATCAGTGCCAGTCAGTGCCACCTATCAGTGTTTTTTTCCCCCCAGTCACAATTTTAGCGCTGCACTTTATATTTTTAGTCAGTGCATTGCCAATCAGTGCCATCAGTGCCACCTGTTTAGTGCCAGTTAGTGCCGCCCATCAGTGCCACCTATCAGTGCCCATCAGTGTCATCTAACAGTTCCAGTCAGTGCCACCTAACAATGCCAGTCAGTGCCGCCTATCAGTGCCAGTCAGTACCACCTAGTCAGAGCCAGTCAGTGCTGCCTATCAGTGTCACCTATGCCACCAGTGCCATATATGAGTACTGCCTTTCAGTGCCCATCAGTGATGTCTGTGAATGCCCACCAGTGATGCCTGCCAATGCCCATCAGTGCCACCTACCAGTGCCACCTCATCAGTGCCCATCAGTGCCGCCTATCAGTTCCCATCAGTGCAGCCTCATTAGCGCACATCAGTGATGGAGAAAAATTACTTATTTACAAAATTTTAAAATTTTAAAACAGAAACAAAGAAAAAAAACTTTTTTTTTTTTTTAAATTTCAGTTGTTTTTTGGTTTGTTTATCAAAAAATAAAAAACCCAGTGGTGATTAAATACCACCCAAAGAAAGCTCTATCTGTCTCAAAACAATTACAAAAATTTCATATGGGTACAGTTTGCATGACTGTGCAATTGTCATTCATAGTGCAACAGCGCTGAAAGTTGAACATTGGCCTGGGCAGGAAGGGGGTGAAAGTGCCCGGCAGGCAAGCGGTTAAAGATAAAAATAATGTTATTGCTATTATGACTTTCACTGTGATTTTATTTGGTATGTGCAATACCAAAGCCATTTGTTGAAGTTTTTTTTTTTTTTTTTTTTTTTCGCTACAAGGAAAATGAAAGTCATAGATGCTTCAAAGTGTGATTAAAAGACTTCTAGGTTAAATACAACAGGCTCCTTTTGCACCCGAGCGCTATTTTCTAAACCTTTAGTCACATTGAATATTACTTGTAATGCACAGATTAATTTGCATCACCTAAGTTCTTGTAGTCAGAAAAGAAAATGAATCACTGCACTCCTTTTCTTGTTTAAAAAGGGGTCACTTCTGATGTTTCATGCTGAAATATGCTTTTCAAATAGCACGTAAAGACAGTGCAATGAGCTGGACCAGCACCCTGGGATTTTTCAGCTTAGCCTGTGATGAGCCACTCACCTTGAGTAATATACTGTACATATCTTCTTGTAGAACTTATATTTTATGTAATGTTTTCTGAAGTGCTTTATAGAATCATCACTGTGAACCTGAATTTTGTGATATATTAAGGCTATGTTCACACTTGTGGTTGCTGATTCGGGACCGTGCTTGTTCCTGCAGCTGCAACCACCCATACAGGAAAATGTGCTGCTGCTCAGGAGATTCAAGGGATACTTTCAATCCTAATGGCACCCTCATGCACTGGAAACCGCAGCACAGTTTTCCCGCACTGGAAACTGCACTGCACTGTGCAGTTTCCCTGTGGCTGCTGTTTCTGAAAAGGTGCAGGGACCTTTTCCCTGTGTTTTCAGTGGATGCACCAGCCCATTCAAATGAATTGGCTGCTATGCACAAGCAATGCAGCTGCTGAGTGTGAACCTAGCCTTTTTTTTTAAATTTAAATAGAGTAGATAATGGTTAAAGCCCCTGCCAAGTTTTCTTCTTATCTGTGTCCCCTTGTGGATATTTTCCTTCAATTCCTGTCTGGTTGACACAACAGGAATCCGGGAACAATTTTATTGAAAGTGAGGAGAAATTGCCT